AGAGATCTGTTTGTCCCAGCCTTCTAGGCACTGGGATTAAAGGCCTGTGCTACCACACCTTGAAGTCACAGAGGTCAATCTCCCTCTGCCTTTCAAGTGTTGGGATTAAAGGTGTGTCCTACCACACCCAACTACTCTCTTTTTTCCTTATTTTTGTTTTTTAAGAACTTCAACTTTTAGTCTGTATATATTTTTAACACACTGTAAACCATTTAGAAATTTTCTTTATCTTTGAATCTCTCTTTACTATATATCTCTCTTTTTCTGATCACATGAGTCTTTAATTTACCAAGCAATATCAGTAGGACTAAAGCCGTGGCTTGGTTGGCTAGATGTAGCCCATTCCTTAGCTTTCCAGCCTCATGGCTGAGGTACTGGCTGTAGCCATGTTTACTGCCACAACTCTATGGCATTTCAAGGTTCCTACCAGCAAGCGAGCTTCAGCAGCCTGTGCTTGCAAACCGCACGAACCGCCTGCGTAAAAGAGTCAGAGTTTGTCCTGGCAGGACAGCCCAGAAAGCCAGCATTTTTAAACGGCATAGCTTTTTTTCCTGCTATGGCTGAAAACCAAAAAGCATGCGTTCAGCTTTTTGTCAGCACAGTTTAAGTGTTTCGTGGCAGGACCTCTTAATGAGCTGCAGGATTTTGCAGCTAAAGCTGAGTCAGGAAGCCTCTCTTAGATGAGAGTGCTTGCTTGCCTCTAACAAACAGAATAGAACCGAGAAGTGGCAGCTACCAAGAAAACATGCTTTACTCTTTCCCAAGCTTTCTCAGGCTTTCAGTGGATTCAGTTGTCCACACATCTGGGCGCCATTTGTTGAAATATGAGCGGCGGGGCTGCATCCCCAGCACCCTGGCTGCCTGGCTAGCTTATGCCCCGAAATAACAACACACAAACTGTATTCTTTTAAACACTGCTTGGCCCATTTCTATCTAGCCTCCTCTCGGCTAACTCTCGCACCTGGACTAGCCCATTTCTAGTGTAGCCCACGAGGTGGCTTACCAGGGAGATTCTAGCCTACGTCCATCCTGGGTTGGAGCTTCATTGCGTGTGCCTCAGAGAGCAGAGCTCTCGCGTCCGCCCTGGAGATGGGAGCATGGCGTCTCTGCTCCTGAGAGCAGAGCTGTTGAGTCTGAGCTCACTTCCTCTTCCTCCCAGCATTCTGTTCTGTTTACTCCTCCCACCTATGTTTTAACCTATGAGGGCCAGCCAAGCAGTTTCTTTATTTTTTTAACCAATGACCTTCCTCCATCATGCTGCTTCACACTCCTCCTGCTTCACACTCCTGCTGCTTCACGCTACTCCTACTTCACACTCCTCCTGCTTCACGTTTCTCCTACTTCATACTCCTCCTGCTTCATGCCACTCCTACTTCACACTTCTGCTTCACACTCCTGCTGCTTCACACTTCTCCTGCTTCACACTCCTGCTGCTGCTTCACACTCCTGCTGCTGCTTCACACTCCTCCTGCTTCACACCACAACTGCTTCACACTCCTCATGCTTCACGCTCCTCCGACTTCACACTCCTCCTGCTTCACACTTCTCCTGCTTCACACTCCCCCTGCTTCACATTCCTGCTACTATGACTTCCTCACAAAACAGACTGCATCTACTCCAACAGTAACACAAAATAAACCTCTGCTTCCTCCCTTAGGTTGTCTCTTATTAGGTGTTATTGCAACAAGAAAGGTATATACCCTTACAGAAGGCCATTTATTTCATTTCACCAGCTCATGACTTCATTTGCCTAATATTTTGTTTTCCCCTATCTTGCCTCCTTTATTTTCCATAGAAAAAGCAAACAAACAAGAACAACACAAAAGCCATTTCCCTCCCTGACTGCTGTGGAGAGAATGTGGCCCTGCCTGTCCAGATTTATTTGTTTAAGTCCGATCCCCAACACAGTGGAATTTGGGGCTAAGGCACCAGGAAGATGAAGAAGTTATACAAAGACAGACCCTTGTGGGACTTCCAGGATTGAGATCAGTGGTCTTATGAGGAGAGGTGTCTCTCCCAGCGGTGAGGACACAGAAAATGGGCATCTGCAAACCAGGGAGAGGCCCTCACCAGACACCAGATCTTTGCTTGACCGTGGGTGGATGTCTCAGCCCTAGCGCTGTGAGGGAAACTGGTTATCGCTTAAGCCGCCCCATCTGTGATAATTCCATAAGATCAGTTCAGACTGGTGAAGCAAATGACCCTTTCCTTGCAGAGTCGAGCACTTGCTCCAATTGTAGTTTTATTTTTAATTAAATATATTTTACTTGTTAATGTAATATGTCTAAAAATGCATAATGTTGTCATTGACACCAGAGTTCCTGTTAGGGAAAGAACTATTTTTAATTAGAAAAATATACGAAAAAGCTGAAGCTAACAGAAATGAAGGCCTCTGAGGGTAATGGTTTAGGAGAAACCACACAGGAACAAGTTCATGCTTGTGTCCCCAAAAGAACACTATGTGTCTCTGCAGAAAGGAACATGAGGGGCAAAGAGGAAATACGGATTGGGAAAGGTGCTGCGAACACAGGGAACATGGTGGAAACTTCCAGAAGGAAGGAGTTTCTAGAATTGGCTAAGAGTTTTATGTGAGGTGAAAGATCTAATATTCAGCCTTTGTGAAGACACAGTCACTGTGTGTCACTGTCCCAGCTCATCCTCCAGGAAGTTCACCCTATGTTGGCATTTCAGAGCGGAACTTCTGAAACACAAAGAGAAATGTCTTCTACTGTACATCAGTTAACACACGGCCTGGGAGAAAGGGACACAGACTGAAGAAAAGAGATGGAGAAACGAAACTCTGCAGAAACTGGATCAGAGGAATTGACAAGGAATGTTCCTCATCCCAGATCCTTACCTCTGCCCACTACAGTGAATCGCTTACCTCTGCCCGCTACAGTGAACCCCTTACCTCTGCCCGCTACAGTGAACCCCTTACTTCTGCCCGCTACAGTGAACCCCTTACCTCTGCCCGCTACAGTGAACCCCTTACCTCTGCCCGCTACAGTGAACCCCTTACCTCTGCCCGCTACAGTGAACCCCTTACCTCTGCCCGCTACAGTGAACCCCTTACCTCTGCCCGCTACAGTGAACCCCTTACCTCTGCCCGCTACAGTGAACCCCTTACCTCTGCTCGCTACAGTAAACCCCTTACCTCTGCCCGCTACAGTGAACTGCTTACCTCTGCTCGCTACAGTGAACCCCTTACCTCTGCCCGCTACCGTGAACCGCTTACAGGTGATTTCCCTACCCTAATCCTGTGAAACTAGGGCTGCCTCCATGGCTCCTCAGGACTCTTTCTGTACTGATATTCTTTGAATTTAAGCTTTACTTTAAGGTGGGAAGAAACAATACGTTACGTCTTATTGTAGAAAAATCTTTGGTGATATGGATTAATTTGATTGATTATTTACACACAGGAGAATACACAAATAATGATACCCATTTAGCACCCAACTCAGGAAAATAAAAAAAGCAAATTCAGAAAAGTGTTCCTGGGACAGCAAACAATGGCTCGTTCATATTCCTCTGGCAATTTTGTAGCATATGTTCTAAAAATTATAATGTGTTTTGAGATTACTACTAAGGCTAGATACAAATGTTTGGGGACATTTATGTTATTACATTATTTTTAAAATACAGAAAAACAAACCAAGCGGTAAGCTGCCCCCAGTGCCTATGAATGCAAGCATGCTGCTGCAAGCCAAGAGAGGAACTTCAGCTTCTCCCCGAACCTGGCCTTGAAGACAGTTAACAGGGGCTGTCAAGGAACTATTGATGTTGAGAAATTGCTGCAATCAATTGATTAGCATGCAATTATTTGAAAAGAAAATATTGAGTTGTTTCTGTTTATTTGCCAGAAGCAATTATCTGATTGTGTTTAAGTAACTTCGTTCACAAAGAGTAAAAAACGAGTCAGAGGCTGCTTGGATCCCACCCGTCTAGGTGACAGTCTATTTGACAATAGAGCGACTTCTCCAAGGGAAGAAGGGAATGGCTATCGCTTCTACAGTGACTTTGAGGGGGTTAAATTAGTTTTCCGTCATGTATTAAATGGATGTTCCTAGAACCAGGATAGGTCAGTACAGAATTCCAGCACAAGGTCACACGTTGCTTCGATCACTTAGATAGATGGGCAGAGAGACGATCATACATGGCACACACGTGTGGGCACATGCACAATCGCAAGCACACACAGACATATGCTTCTCACTGGATTAAGTGAATTACTACTGAAGACGAGCATAAGAATAGACTCGGCGCACAAGGATGCTCTACTGCCAATCCTTGGCTTGGCTGGAAGATGTTTGTTGAGGAAACACAACCTGGTACTCTATTGTGACAAAACATGGCTGTCACAGTCCTCACGGCCAGCTAGCTAAAGAAGTCCAAACCTTTGGTCTCATAAAAGCGGCATTTAGATTTTAAACGATGTGATTGTAGATAAAGCTCCTCAGATATTAAAACTGAAAACATTGTTCCATTTATTAATTTATTTAGGATGGCCATTAGGAATCTATCACACATCAACACTAATAACCGGTTTTATGCACAATAATCATAATAATGAAAGGACATACCGTGACTGGTGCCTGTTGCGTGGTTTTTGTAAAATCTTTCATGCCTGGGTTTGTGGATGCCAGTGGACTCCAGTCTGATCTGGTTTACATTGTTTTGGTGGAACTTTATAAAGAACAACCCTCTACACACACGTCACTAGGAAAGAGAGGAGTGTTTTGTGAGGCTTTTCAAATAAATTTGTGTGTTCCTCATGGATATCATAACCAAACTCCGTGGATAATAGCTTTTTAAAGATGTGTTTGTTATAAAGACTCTGGAGTCATATCAATAAACTTCTCATTTCTTTTACATTAAAGCCTAGTAGTCTGTCTTTGACCAAACTGGATCTTCACCTTTGATTTCGTAATGTCATACGCCAGTCATTTGGAAATTCACTAATTTATACAGTTTCCTGATATCAGTACAATTTGTTGTTCTCTTCAGTAAGCTGGTGGTGAAGGAGGTGGCTGAGGAGAACTGTTGCCAGGCCAGGGTGAAGCACTTTCCGTCATGTACAGATTCCCAGGTGGGGCTGAGGGTGCAGCTGAAGGCCAGGGATAACGGGCCCCCATCCCATAAGCACCAGAAGCCCATGCGTCATCTTGTGGTCTTGACAAGTTGCTCCTGACGGTGGCACAGTGCGGTTACCATCCCCATAGGGATAATGGGGCAAGGTCATTGCAGGGTTCTGTGAAGCAGGATATCCTGGAACCTGACCCCTGAGTGGAGGTGCTTCTGTCTGACAGTCCTGCTGGGAATATATCCAACGAGAGACTGGGGTTGGGCTGTTACCAGGGGATCGGTAAGTGCTTGGAACTTCTGTAGAGTAACTGCTTTGAGTATAGCCAGGAACATAATAAGCCCCAGAGTATGAGGCAGTATTTGGTCCAGGACCAGGAGGGTATGGTGAACCATATGCTCCATTCGTATAAGAATTCAAACTCTGGCCTTGTAACTCTGGTCTTACTGGATATGCACTTGGATACGGGGCCCTCGGTCGCACAGAATTCCAGTAGTTAGAATTATAGCCAGGATATGGTGACTGTTCCTGGTGTCCACCACCGGCTCTACTCGGCTCTGCCCAGGCGCCTCCCGAGGGGTAGTAGGCATCGCCACCTGCGCCTTCTCCGGGCCAGGTGGTCTCGGCCGGGGCGCCCCTGCGCCCTCGCCAGGAAACTGGAGGCTGGGGTGGCTCGGGCCGAAGCGGAGGGTACAGGGGCGGAGGGACGTGCACCGGGACATCGCCTCCGCCGGGCCCATAGTAGCAGCCATACGAAGGGCCGTCACTGGGGCCGTAGCCCAAGCGCCTCAGGGCCGACATGGGCTCCGCTGCCGCGAAGCGCTTCCCGCCCCCCACGGCCGGCCCATTGCGCAGGCGCCTGCGGGCGACAGCACTGTAGTAATGGGGGCGGCGGGGCTGCGTTCCCATTACTACAAGCTAGTATGCATTAATATTGCTACAAATCTCAAAAACACCCTTTATGAGTCAAGACATTGTTAGATGTAACTCGTCTATATTCTCATTTTCATATGAGAGCGTGAACTTTATCACTAGAAGCAATGACTGTCAGTCGGGTTTCTGGGAACGACAGGTGCATTTGGGTGGTTTCAGGAAATGTCTAACAAAGGCTGAAGTCTGAATAACTCCATTTGTCTGTCAGTCATCCTTTCTGGGGGAAAGCAGGTTCCGTGTGATCAGTGGGAAGCAGCTAGTTCAGCGTGCAACTGGGGCGTCGGCACACGCGCTTTTACATAGACGACAGCTATGGCTTTGAGAATCCTGACGTAATTTCGGTATTCTCGCCAGGTTCTCCCACATAGCATTTTTTAAAGGTTGCAGTTTAGGACTGATGAGAAGAAGAAGAAGAAGAAGAAGAGGAGGAGGAGGAGGAGGAGGAGGAGGAGGAGGAGGAGGAGAAGGAGGAGGAGGAGGAAGAGGAAAATGTTCTGCTTTGTTAGTGACATTCTCAATGGGCCTGGAACTGCCCCTCTCCCAAGTCCAAATGGATACAAAAACAGCATGTTTATGCATAGCTTATTGCCACAGCTTACATCCGCCCCATTTACATCTGCAGAACAAATGACAGACACTGGAAATGGCAAGCGACATCATGAAAATAGATTTGACCTCCAAACTCCCGGAAAAGATGTCTTAAAGACACCAAGACCTGCAGATCACAGCCTAAGAGCCAAGGCTTAAGGGATCATCATAAACAAATCGTTAAACTGTTTCAGGCTGCTGCTCCAATAAGCTAGGGGAGCTCAGGGCCAAACACGTACGGTTTGGTTCAATACGAGAATGGTTCCAAGTGTTTAACGTAGGGAGTAGGGCACTATAATGAGGGAATTATGTGTGTGCAAACACTGTTGCCAGGGACCGCCCACAATCTTTTCTGGTTGAGGAGTTTCTTTGGGTTTGATTTGCGATGGAAGACACAGAGTTTTTAATTAAACTCTAATTTTAAAATGAGAAATAGGAGAAAAAGTTACCTTCGCAGAAATATTCAGCACCGTCCAACATCAGAGCAGCTGAAGTCTGAGTGAAAACAAGCTTTCTAAGATCTCTTAGTATAAGAAAACATCCAAGAGCTTGTGAAACAGAAGCGAAGGGCAGGAAGGCAGTCAAGGAACTAAAGCCCTGAGTTCATCAGCTCAGCAGCTGAAGATTATGGCTCCACACAACGCCTTCCAGGTGCCTAGAATCTGCTAAGGGATAGAGGGCTCCTTTTAATACCGAGAGGATTGTCATAGATGTCTGTTTCCCTAAAATAATTTACCTGAGGCACTTTGATATATTCTCAGATGCCCGTCCTGGTAAGTAAGATACACAGGTAATGAGAGTGGGCATCTCTTTAACATTGGCTTTGTGCAGAGCATTCTTCTTCACTTCTTCAGGGGACCCAGGCCAGCTAGGCAGTTTCACCTGAAAAACAAGTGCCTCCAGGTGACTTCCCGTTTCCCATAATGCACACCAGTGGGCTAGAACAACAGAATGCTAATAAAGCATAGCTTCTGCTTTACAGAAACAGCTCAGCCTGTAATTAAAATCGTAGACCCTGAACGAGCATTGGCATTCCACCGCGTTCCTCCACATGCTGACGTGGACAGGTCCCCCTGCGTCTTTGTGTTTTAGCTCCATCTGTGATGGGACCGTGATCAGACCGTCCAGTTCCACAGAGAGGCCTGCTGTTGTAAAGATTAACGCCTCACATATATGCAATATGCCCGCACCAAGCACCGTTCGTACGCCTGCTGTGACCACACTTGCGGCCATTATCATCACCATCTAGTTCACAGCTCTCAGCGAGTTCTGATTTGGAATGTCTTCACTGCAGTAGGTGCGAAGTCACGCACAAGTAAAGAATTAGACACACTGGCTGTTCTTTTTACTGGGATTTAATCCTCTGTAATTTCTTACCGCTTTGAATTGTAGCTAAGAGTCCCTAAATTTCTTGGTCCTGAAACCTTATCTCTTCCAAAATCTCCCTGCTGCATCCATGTCTGTTCCTGCTCATGAGGACAAAAACAACAGCCATTTCCACAATGAGATCTCCCACCACGTGCACGATTAAAATGGGCTGGCCTCTTCTAGTTCCTTCTCCAGTCTTGTTTTTGCTTCCAATTTGTCACAAGCTCCATTGAACCGAATAACTCACGAGATAATTTCTATTCTTCGCTGACAATTTCTCTCTTGACTTCTATTCTTCCTAAAGATTTGAAGTAATGGCGATGGGTTAGAACAAAACAAGCCTGCCCTCAGCTTCTCCTTCGCAGTCCACACGCTCCGCTCTATCTTTTTCTCAGGCAGGTGCAGCCTCGGGGAAGGTTGTTTTCTCTTTATGCACCGATGCTTAGCGGAGTTCGCAAGCCAGCAGTTCACAGTAGCTCACGGTGCTTTCGGTCATATGGAGGGATTTCATACTTCAGCAGACGCAGAGGGAACGCTTCTGGCAAAGAAATCTGTAGCACTTCTGGCAATCCATTCCCGTCATGCCGTCGGACTCTACCCCTGCCCATGACGCAGGCTCAAGTACATTTCTCTGATTCTGGGAAGACACACGAGAATTCAAGGCAAACACCACCCCATCAGCGAACCTTTGCGTCAGTGCAAACAGGAGCCAGAAACCGACCAGACTAGCAAACCACGGGAGCCAGAAACCCACCAGACTAGCAAACCACGGAGACTCCTTGCCTCACATTCCAAAAGCCCAGGCCCCGGGAGGCCTCAGGAACTGGGCAAGTGGCTATTCTTCAAAGCAAACCTCAAAACAGGACATCCCAGCACCTACGTTGTCTCCCTCAGATTCTTTGCCAAGCAAAGCACATTAGAAAAGTGGTGGTGGTGGCCTTAAAGTGTCTTCAAGGGTTACTATAAATATTATATTTTTTTATTATATTTATTTACTTACAGACTTATTTCTGGGTGTATGTGCGCCCACTCATTGCATAGCATGTAAGTGTAAGCCAGAAGACAGTTTGCTGGTGTCAGCCTCCCCTCCCACTATGTGGGCCCCTGGTAGAGAACTCAAGTTTTCAGGCTTGGCAGCAAGTGCTTTTATCAATTAAGCTATCTTGCCAGCCAGAGATGACTTCTCATGAATGGCATCAATAGGTAAAGATTTAAACAACAGCAAAAAAAAAAAAAAAAAAAAAAAAAAAAAGGCTTGATGACTGTGGGCCAATTTAAGGTGTATATTAAGTTTACTAGCTTTGTCGGTATTAATCCTATTTCAGATGGAGAGATGCATTTCAGAGAGAGAGAGAGAAGAGAGGACGCACTCTCTTCTTGTCTTCCCCGCTGTATCTAAGACAGCTCTTCAAACTCTTGTTTCTCCAGAAGTAATGGCTATCGATGCACTTGTATTGCTAGGAAGGTTTTCTGTGCCCTCTGGTGGTCATGTTTCCAACTTTTTGAGCCAAGGTAATGTACAATTGGGGGACAACTTTTGCTGGAGGGGGGAAGGAAGAACGGAGGCCTGTGACTGCAATGCTTGCAGAGGTTTCTGGAGAGCCATCAAGGAAGGACAAAGGAGATTGCAGTTCCAGGAAGGCAGGTGTAGGGCCACTCTCTTCCCATGTTCAGGAAGTTGCTTGAAGCTCTCTTCCTTTTGGCTCTGTTTTATACTCCATTACTAGAAAGGATTATTTCCATTACAGAGTTAGCAGAAAGGGATTTTTTTCTCTTACATTTTGGCTATTGGAAAAGAGTCTTAGAAATGAACTCCTAGGGGAAACAGAAACAGTCATGTCTGTGAGGGAAGCCACAGGGAAACCTACATGGCATAGTCAGACTCCTCCTCCTTCTCCTCTTCCTCCTCCTCCTCCTCCTCCTCCTCCTCCTCCTCCTCCTCCTGCTGCTGCTGCAAGTCCTCTAGGAATCCATTGGTTCTTAGAGTCAGGTTTCTAAAACCCAAGGTGATTTGAGAAACATCCTGAGAGGGAACAGCTGCACTACATAGTCAGAAGGAGGTTTATTTTGGTGCAGCTGCCAGACTCTGGTGGTGCCTTCGTGTATTTTTGATGTCTAGTAATTATTGGAAGTGACTTCAGCTCTTGTTAATTAACCCCTCTGACACAAACAGAAGGTGTGCGCTTCCTCCAGGGGCCTGAGTGGTGGAGTGCAGTAGACTCTGTGGCTCTGCCCTCCCGACCTCTCTTGGCAACACTTGAAAGATTGAAACGGTGATGTGGGCGCATTCAGAGCTGGTGTTCCACGCTGATCAGAGCTGAGATATTCATGCAGGAATGGAACACAACTGCACAGGCACTGGGAATGGGCAGCAGTGGAAGTCCCAGAATGAACCTAGGGCAGGGACAGTTTGACCCCTCCCCCCACACCCAGAGAGATTTTCTGCAGTTCTTGAATCATAATTTTAAAAACTGCTCTCTTCACTGCTTATATTTTGGAACTGACCTCATCATGGCGTGTGTGTGTGTGTGTGTGTTTTAAAAGTAATAAGAACACAAATACCCTTGTACCCATTGCCTTCATAATCCCAAGATGTCCTCCTCACTGTATACACTCTCTTCACTTGGTGACACCACCTACCCAACTCTTTGTATTTTCCGTTTTTTCTTCTTTTTTATTTATTTAATTTTTTTAATTTTACATACCAACCCCAGTTCCCCTCCGTCTCCTTTTCCCACCCCTCCCCACACCTAACCTGTAATAGGAGTCCCCTTGTTTGTTTCCCGGCTGCCCAGACTCCCAAAATAACCACAAAGAAGATGTATTAATTAAATCACTGCTTGACCCATTAGCTCTAGCTTCTTATTGGCTAACTCTTACATATTAATTTAACCCATCTCCATTAATCTGTTTTATCACCACATGGCAGT